AGTTTGAACATTTATCTAGCGGAAACGACTATTGAGAGGTCTCAAATTTGCATTGTCGAGACAAAAATAGGACAATACGCAAGCCCTTGCAGTTCCGTGTACTTATAAAGTGGTGTGGAGCTGTGTGAGTGCATACGAGCACATACAAGGCACGGGAGTCCACTCCCTTAACCCCTTCCCGTACTTTAGCGAGTCAGACTCGCGATGAAGATTTTGGCCCAAACATGAATATCGTGAGTCAGACTCGCGACCAGATACTTGGGCCGAACGTAAACATAACAAGCCGAGCTCACGGACTGATATTTTGCCCGTTATGATCGTGACGGAATGTTAGTTTCTATCAGTACCTCATGATAGTCACGATTCTTATCGTTCCTTTTACGAAGCAGTTCAATTATTAAAATTTAAGAAACCTCTTCAAAATGCAAGATACAAAATGAAGAGTTTGGAAGTATTTTGAACATCATGGAATAAAAGTGTCTGTCTTAAATAACTTAAGCGCCAACCCAAGAATACTAGACCTATTCTTTATTACATTTGATAACAAGTTTTGGGAAATCCTGGTTTCGGAAACAAATCGTTTCGCAGTTCAGACACTACACGACAAACGTAAAAAACGGCATGTGGACGACAATTGGTATTCTGTCACTTCAGACGAAATGAAGGCCTATTATGCACTATGTATTTTGATGAGTCAAATAAAGAAATCAAATATTCAACTTTATTGGACTAGAAGAGGTGTATTAAAAACACCAATATTTAGGCAAAAGATGCCTTTTAAAAGATTTCGGCAAATTTCGAGATTTTTACATTTCTCCGATAATGAAACTGATGATAGTAAAGACCGACTTCGCAAGATAAGACCTTTAATTAAGTTTTGGAATCAATAATTTAAAGAAATTTACACAACCAATGAATATGTTAGCATAGATGAATCCTTGATGAAATATAAAGGGCGTTTAGCGTACAAACAGTTCAATCCGTCAAAAAGAGCTCGGTTTGGAATAAAAATTTACAAATTGTGCGAGGTAAGTACAGGTTTCTGTCATGGATTTAAGATATATACCGACCAGGACAGAATTGATCGAAAGGATAGTGCGTCGGAGAACGTTGTGGTAGAATTGTCAAAGTCTACATATAATTAGCAAAGGATATACTTTATTCCTGGATAACTGGTATTCTTCACCCAACCTGTTTCTAAAATTACACCAGCGAAAGACAAACGTTGTCGGGACCGTATGCAAGAACAGAAAAAATATGCCACAAGACATGCAAAAGCATATTTTGAAGAAAGGAAAATTTGTGTGGAGATCTTGCAATAATTTGATAGCTCTGCGATGGAAGGACAAGCGCGACGTTTACATGCTCTCCACAAAACACAAAACTATAGAGATGGTCGAGGAATTAAACAAACAATTACAGAAAGTAATGAATATAACAAGGGTATGGGTGCAGTTGATCATCAAGATCAGATGTGAACCTGTTTCCCAATAATAAGAAAAGTCATGAAAGGATACCGAAAGCTTTTCTTTTACATATCAGAGACGGCTCTGTTTAATACCTATACCATAAAAAACTTCAAAAGATTAAAAAAATTACGCCAAGTACATAAAAAAGTGGAGGACTTAAAGTGTAATCATAGAAAAATAGAAGATCCTCCTAAAAAAATGCAAGAAAGTAGAAAAAGATGTGAAATCAAAATGAGAAGCCAGTACATGAAGGTCCTTTCCAGTGAAGTGCAAAGTGACACTGTGTAACATAATATCAAATTCGTTGCTTTCCAACTATGCGCAGCTAAAATGCTGTGTTCAACAGTGCAGACGTTCAGACTCTAATGGGAACTCATGCAAACTGACTGCTCCGCACTGTGGCGGTGAAATAAAGAAGCTAAATAGTGTATCAACCACAAACTGAAACTGTTTAGACATTTGCCTACATGTCCGTGGCCTGGAAGTCAAATGCTTGGCGTGGCCAGGCAAGATCAAGGTTTTGATCAATAAGAATTATTTTAAAATGTAAAATAATGAAAATGTACTCATATTGTCAAAGTTTTAAATTGACAAATTATGTGAAAGTCTGCGAGATAGAAAATATGGGTATTGATGATCTGAGAATGCTTTGCCCGGCCACGCCAAGCATTTGACTTCCAGGCCACGGACATGTAGGCAAATGTCTAAACCCAGATAGCACATGGACGTCTTATGTACGTTCATAAGATGTCCGGTACTGGACGTTCGGGACATCCTATGGACGTCCAGATAACATCCAAACGTCTCCTGAACGTCCCTGGAACGTCCCAGTTACATCGCAGGACGTCCCTGGGACGTCCGGCGCGGACATTCTATGTACGTCCCTGGGACGTCCGGTGCTGGACATTTCCAGAATATTTTTTGTACGTTCTCTGTACGTCCATGGGGCACATCCACTGCTATGTGGGATAATAATATTAATATAATTAATTAATATAATTAATTTACATTTATAAATAGTGTTTTTTATATTCGGAAAAAAATAATCTGTTCTACTAATTGATTAAATATTATATTATAAAGAATATTAATAATTAATATTTATTTTGTTTAAAAAAAAGTATTTTTCCCTAAATCTAAAAAGTTCAGAACGGACATCCCTGGGACGTACAAAATTTAGGTCTCATGGACGTTCGTAGGACGTTCCGGGCGGACGTCCCTGGGACGTACAGAATTTAGGTCCCATGGACGTCCTAAGGACGTTCGACAACGGACGTCGGACGTTTGGACATAAACTGAACACCAAATGGACGTCTATGGGACGTCCGGTGCTATCTCGGAACAGTCTCAGTTTGTGGTTGATACACTATTTAGCTTCTTCATTTCACTGCCAAAGTGCGGAGCAGTTAGTTTACATGAGTTCCCATTAGAGTCTGAACGTCTGCACTGTTGAACACAGCATTTTAGCTGCGCATAGTTGGAAAGCAACGAATTTGATATTATGTTACACAGTGTCACCTTCCACTTTACTAGAAAGGACCTTCATGTACTGGTTGCTCATTTTGATTTCACATCTTTTTCTACTTTCTTGCATTTTTTTAGGAGGATCTTCTATTTTGCTATGATTACACTTTAAGTCCTCTACTTTTTTATGTACTTGGCGTAATTTTTTTACTTTTTTGAAGTTTTTTATAGGAATCTCACTTCCTTTTCCAAAGATACTTTCTATAGTGAATGACTCTAAATAATAGAAAATGGGAGATCAGTTTAAATCCTTTAAGGTTTCAATGTACGCGGAACGCATTGCAAGAAGTCTCATTCAAGAAATTTATTAAAGAAAAAATGTAATCACTTTATCAGTAACATTTAAATTTCTGAGAAAAAGATTTTCTGTCATGTGTCGTGCGTACTTTTGAGGATTTAAAGAACTAAATCTGACCTCTCTTTTTCTATTTTATTGTAACACAATAAATTATGTGTTACAAATAGTGGATCTCTGTTCATTTTCTCATTATTTAAATTTCTTGCAACAAAACTTTCTGCCATGCATTGTGTGTACTTTTGAAAATTCTAAGGACTGAAACTGATATTGCAATACGATAAATTGTGCGTTACAAATATTGGTTTCCTGTTTCATTTCTCGCTTTATCTTTAACATTCGAATTTCTTGCAATAAGACTTTCTGCCACGCGTTCTGTGTACTTCTGAACTTTATTCTAATACAATAAATTATGCGTTACAAATAGTCGATTTCTTTTTTTTCATTTCTCGCTTCATCTTTAACATTTAAATTTCTTGCAGTGAGACATCCTGTCATGCGTTCTGTATACTTTTGAAAACTTAATGGACTGAAGCTGGTCTCTTTCCTATATCTGGCTTCAGACACATTATGTATATTGTAGACTCTACGCTTACTATAATAAAAGACAAATGTATTTTTATCTTAAGCTCTACATTAATTTGCAAACAAAATAAGGTTTGTATGTGTTATTTACAAATAAAATTAATGTCATATGAATAACGCACAATTTATTATATTACAATACCAGATTCAGTCCCTTAAGTTTTCAAAAGCACACATAACGCATGGCAGAAAGTCTTGTTGTAACAAACTTAAATGTTAAAAATGAAGTATTAAATGAAAAAAAGAGGTCTACACTACTTCTAACCCACAATTTATTATATTATAATACCAGTTTCAGTTTTTGATGTTTCCAAAGTACACACAACGCATCGCAAAATGTCTTGATGCCAGAAATTGAAATGTTAAACATGAAATGAGAAATAAAAAAGGAGATCCACTATGTGTAACGCACAATTTATTGTATTAGAATGAAATTCACAAGTATGCACTGTTGTTATTTGGGCATTAAAAGGCAGATTACCACAGTCTCGTTCTTACAGAAAAGGATTGTATTGCGTTAGGAACAAAAGTAATCACATGTCGAAGATCTAAAGAGTACAAAAATAAAAAGAAAAGCGTATCTCTAAAAAGAGAAGAATGCAAGAAGGGCGACAGACCGGCAAAACGGTTAGAGCGCACTCTGCTGGCATGTCGACCCAACCGAGGAAGATTTTAACGCGCAACATGCACAATTTAAATGTTAATAAATAAAGTGGAAAAATGTACAAAGAGATCCACTATTGGTAACGTACAATTTATTGTATTATAATTCCAGTTTCAGTCCTTTAAGTTTTCAAAAGTACGCACAATGCATGTCAGAAAGTCTTGTTGCAAGAAACCAAATGTCACAAATCCAAACTGACAGTTACTGGTTAGAAATGAACGAGCGGCATGAGTGACAGCCATATTACAATTCCGACCGACGAGCCTTGCCGACTGATTCCGAGAGTCGACGAATCGACGAACGGCCTTAGATCCTATTGGCTAAGTGTTGTCGAAACATTCGAAACATTCGGTTTTATTCGAAAGCTTATATGCGATTTACATAAAAAAATGCCTTTAGTTTTAGAAAATACAGCAGGCATGACGAGATATTAATGACAGAAGTTTCGGGTTAGGTTGGAATCGCGTTTTCTCGAGTAAAAGATACGCGGTAGCGCCAGCGCCAGGCATATACGGGGAGGCTATTTTTTCATGACTTGGCGTCGAGACGCTACCGCATCTCTAGATATACTCAATATACATACAGTATGTACACATATATATATGTATGAATATGTTTTCTACATTATTGTACGTCATTAATAATTTGACATACATATAAGAATAATTAATTTTCTCTTGTACAAAAATATATTTATTGCCATAAAAATTGTTTGAATAATAATATGATATAATAATGATATTAATTACATCTGCATCTATAATTTATGTAACCTAAACCGCACGGAAAAATAATCACTTACCTCGCTCCTCCTCCTATGTAACATTATTTATATACGATGATATTTTAAGTTGAATATTTGGCAACCATTTTTGGCGGAAGAATGAAACTCGTTTCCATTTCACGCTTATCATCTTATCTGCAATTTCATATTCGAAATAGCGCAGTATCATCGACAAACTTCTCCTTGGGTTCTCGATATACGCTAAAATATAAATAAACCTATGTAATTGTAACAGGAAGTATTTTTCAAACAAAATATATTCGTATAGTGGAGAAGTACAATACTTTTAAATAAAATAAATATTAAGTAAAATTTGTGGGTCATACTTTAATAAAATTGCTCAATTTTGTACTTGAAACCAATTTCCTAATGTATAAATAAGCGATTTTCCTTAATATAAGTAGGAGTAAGAAAGAGAGTAAGAGTGCACGTGTGTAACAGTTGCAGTATGAGTGATCTGAAATATGTACTTCTTCTGAAAATTAATTTTTATCTAGTACCTTTCAATAATATCTTTAATTTTAAATCGCATGCAGACAGTATGCAATTATAAACACCCTTGTACAGTTAATACAAGTTCGTAATTCTCTCAAAGATGGAGATTTCTCCAATTACTTAGCAATAGCTAAAAAATAAAAACTGCGTCTAAGAAAGTGCCGCACAGTGGTCCGGATGGCCAAAATTAGAAGGAGTTTTCGAATCTTCATGAAACTTGGTATTTAAGAGTTATTTGGGCCGCAAATTACGAATCTGGTATCAGAATTTCCAAATTCAAAACTGCACTTTCAAGAGCACTTTTAGATACGTTATACTTTCGAGCTATCACGCGGTAACTTAATTGTGTACAGCAATCTCAAACGATTAAATGGCGAATTTGATTTGAAATTTCTTCCGTTTTTGACATTCTGAAATTTTTCTAGAAATGCTTGTACTCGTACGAAGGCTGAGTTAGTACTAATAAGTTCCTATGGGATCACTGCATGTAAGCGTAATCTCTGCCTAATGTTTGTATACATTTCTTGCCTTATGATAACTTTGTAACAAAGTGTTCACTTATTTTCGTCTGCTGCTAAATAGCTATCAGTTTCGTTAACTACAGCATGTTTACACAAAGATGCAAGTAAGAACTTCAATTATTCACTACATAATGTACATACTATAAAGATATATAAT